CTCTCAGAGGTGTTAGCGGAGTTGCTTCCTCACCCCAGACTTTCTCTTTTTTTATTCCCCTCCCTACTGGCGCTCAGGGAACCCCGATGATTTTCCTAGATGGACAGTAAAAAGGCTCTTCCTAGTTCCAGTGAGGGTGGACAGGCCAGCAAGGACATAGATGAGGCAGTGGCCCCACCCACACAACCTGAAGTCATTACCCTCCACCACCATTCAGCAAGGATGCTAGCACAAACACACGAAAGAAAGCACGGCACAGCTCTGCATCTTCCAGCCGGAGCTTAGCAGTCAGTCCCACTGAAAAACGTGAACAATAACTAAGAAGACCAGTTTCTTTCTTTCTTTCTTTTTTTTTTTTTTTTTTTTTTTTTTTTTGGTTTTTCGAGACAGGGTTTCTCTGTGTAGCTTTGCGCCTTTCCTGGGACTCACTTGGTAGCCCAGGCTGGCCTCGAACTCACAGAGATCCGCCTGGCTCTGCCTCCCGAGTGCTGGGATTAAAGGCGTGCGCCACCACCGCCCGGCCAGTTTCTTTCTTGTCTTCCTTCTATGATAGAAGACAATAGTCAGCATTAAGGTGTTTCATGCCTTCATATCTGCATTTACCCATGACTAATGATTCATCGTGAACAGAGTTCCGAAAGTCCACCCAATGCCATGCTGTGTTCTGGACAGACAGTCTCTGCCATGTGTGCAGTTGAATTTTCATGAAGAAGTCAATGAAACCCAGGCATTTCAGGCAATGCCAGAGACTGAAGGAGAGGCTAAGGATGGCCTGGCATGACCAAGACAACCTACCCGGAAGAGAAGAGACTTAGCCTGGAGAGAACAGAAAAAAATTCAGCTAGGCTGGAAGTAAACAAAAAACAAAAAAGAATAGTAATTCGGGGCAAAGTTCTGTGCCCAAAGGCCTTAAGGATTCTAAATTTGGTCTTTCCAACTGATGGCCATAGGAAATTAAAGGCTTGAAAAAAAAATGTGGTTTATTGTTGTTGTTGTTTTGTTTTGTTTGTAAAGAAAGAACTTCACTTCTCAGAATGAGAGCCAGTCGGATGATTTTAGAAGCCCAACGATGCTCCTGGCAGGAAACCTGCGAATGTGGAGCAAGTCCCTCCCACAGAAAGCAGTTCTGAAAGTTGTGCCCATCAACAGACCTACACTCCAGTGCATCTCCAGTTCAGAATCTGGGGCTCCAGGCAAGCCTCTTGACGTCTCTCTGATCTCCGGTTTCCTCGTTTTTAGAATGGAGATAATGGCAGTTATCAATGAAATGAGGCAACTCATGTAAGCTGTCTAATTTATTCTGTGTACGTGCAGAGGTGCACATGGACACAGGTGAACATGGAGGCCACAGGACAGCCTTGGGTGTCTTGGGTGTCATCACCCAGGTGCTACCCATCTTTTTATGAGCCAGATCTCTCAGTAAACTGAAACTCACCAAGTAGGCTAGGCTGGCTGGCTTCAGGGATCCTCCTGTCTCTGTCTCCCCAGGGCAGATGCCACCAGGCCTGGCTTTTTTAACATGGGTTCTGGGGATCAAATTCATGCCCTTGTACCTGCAAAGCAAGCACTATACCAACTAAGGCACGCATGTCCCCAGCCCCAAATGTCTTACTGTAATCACTGACGTATTCAATAATGTATTCCGTAAATGGCGATGGCTATGAATTACATGAAAAGAAAGCAAGAAAAATATTCAATTATTCACCTGTGGGGACAAAAACTGAATTGGAAGGAAACCAAGTTTGAGGAGTTAATCTGCCCTCTTCTTCTACTGCTATATTTTGGCCCTAGTAGTCAGCTTAGTCTGTAAAAAGGAAGAGGCATGATCGATGCCTGACTTGGTTGCAAAGAGCAGGATAGTCCTTGGCGTCTTGCCTTCTCATAAACACTTTAATACTGAGAAGAAAATCACCTTCTTCGGTGTAGACCTATAAAAATAACTGACCATGCACTTGCATTAATCCATTCCATATGTTGCTAGAGTTTGAAATCCAGGTTGGCAAAGAGGCTCAGTAACATGGTTCCCATGAACATCTTTTACTAGACACCGTGACAAATGCTTTTAGGGTCTTGTAAAACTGGGAAAAAGGAAAAGTTTCGGTATGCCATGAACTAGAGGTTTTATTTCCCATCGCAATGAGTCCTCCCAAGTCTATGAGAAAGATTCCATGGCTTTACTATAGAAACCAAGTAAGAGATAAAATAAGCTGTACGTGGGCTGGGGATGGAGCTCAGTTGGTAAAGTGCTTGCCAAGTTTTCACCAAGGCCTGGGTTGGATCCCCAGGACAGCATAAAATTAGGTGTCCTGAAACACACCTCTTTCCGCAGCATTCAGGAGATGGAGGCAAGAAGGATGGGAGCCGCGGAGCTGTTCAGTCATCCTTGGCTACACAGTGAGTTGGAAGCCAGCCTGGGCTACATGAGACCTGATCTATAAATAAATACAAGATGTGTGTCATTTTTCATTGCTTTCATTTATTTATGAACTTCAAATCAGACATCCTTTGTGCATCTGCTAGTTAGTTATAAAGCATCAGGCAGGGGGAAAAAAATCATTGTCCTCGAGGAGTTTGCAATTTAGAGGGAGAACAAGATGAACAGCTCTCATGACAGACTGGGAGAGATGTCACCAAAATGCCATGAGGATAAGACGAATACCAACTAGGAATTCTTGAAAGGCTCCCATGAGGGAGTTATGGATTGCAACAAAAATAATGAGAAGCAGCACAGGAATGTGCTACAGGTATGTGGTGTGACCTGAGTAACCAACGCTTGAGAATGTGTGTTGTATCTTGGGATGAAAGCTGTTTGTTGCAAGGACCAGTAGATAACGTAGATACAATAGAGAAGGGGGTAGGCGCTCGATATGTCAAGAACTCTGAACGCCAAATTTAAGTTTTTAACCTTTGTCAATTACATTAACACTACATAGCATGTGGTATACTCAGAAACCTGCCAAGAGGCAAAGAAAGGAAAAACAATGCCTTAGAGAGAACTTCTCAAACGGCCCTCAAGGCACCCACACAGCTGCGATCTGGACTTCTTCTTCATGAGGCTTTCTGTGTTCTTGCTTTGGAAGTAGACAAGTTCTTTCTTGTCTGACTGTATCCTTTTTAGTAACCAACTTTTACATTTTCTCCTTCCTTTCCCAGGACACTAAAAAAAAATTAGGCAGATAAGTAGATTCTGGAGAAATCCAAAGAACTTTTGGCAGGAGAAAGAGGAAATGTTATGCAAATCCATCAGCCTCAGACATGCAGCCTCCAGTGAGGTCACCCTGGTTCCTTCCATCTGGCTGCATCCTCTGAGTTTTCTGATTTCTTGTCACTCGCTCCTTCATTCCTGTAGTTTTTGAACGCCATCATGTGTGTCATGACCTAGAAGGCAGCCTGACTTTCCCTTGGTTCAGTCTCAGGTTATCTCGCTCTCTCTTGGGCCATCAGTTTCCTCCAAGGATCCTACCTCCTCCTACACATACAGCCAGGGTGTGCAACTGGAGACTTTTTTCAATGCGTTTCGTTCCATTTGAACATTTTCCTCATTTCCCATTCTAATACTAGCTGCCTGGAAATGCCGGTTGTTCACTCCAACTTAGTTCCCATGTTTCATCTAAATAGCAACGCCAGTGGGAAACCTTTCTCCCCCTCCAAGCCATTTACCCGGGGTCCAGAGCATCCTTCCTCCTGTGAACTTCAGGTAAACCCTTCTCCCTACTCAAGAGACATTCACTTGGCTTTAAAGTGGTGTTGTACATTAACTAACAACCATGCGTTTCCTTAAGGGAAGGGATACATTTGGATAGACGTGGAAGAGCAGAAGGGCAACAGAGTCACACTCCAGCTGTGTTCAAACTTGCCCCCTTGTCCACCACAGCTCTCCCAAGACCACGAGCTTGCTAGCCTGTTGCCTCACCGCATTTACCACAGCGGTCTCTCGGGAAGAGGACCCACTGTACGGGAATGCTGACGGCCAACTGTGCCTGACTCAGCAGGCAGGATTACAGCACCACCAAATTAAAGTATGCCTCATAACTCATGTAGAGGGGCAGCCGATTCACTGGGGGATGGGAGGGGGGGGTAAGAAAATGGTTAATCATGGAAAGTCCCAGAGGAAGTCGTAAAGTCCCATTCGAGGAGTCCTGCTATTGTTTATTCTGGCTGTAAGATACACCCAGGGCCCCTGTGTCACGGCTCCTCTTCACCCTCCCTTATCCCAACATATGCCTCACCCCAGGCCACCTGGGTCTCAATAAGCCCTCTGGCTGCAGGCTTCAGCTCTGTCCACCACCTGCCCAGGACCAGCCAACGTGGACATTTGTGACTGGGAAATTCTAGCAACGCCAGACAACGGCCCCTCTTGGGCCACCAGCCGCTGCCTAGCCCAGCCTTCTTCGATCCGCAGGTCCTTATTGTGCCTTTTGCCCCGTCTTGGTCGCAGCCCCTAAACGGTAATTCGAGTCGGGCAGACAGATGAAGAGGAGAGGAACAGACACACATTTCACAAGGACCCAAATTAACCTGCTGCCCCTCGCAAAGTCCCCATCCTCATCCCTTTTCCTCACGGTGGGGCTGGGGGCGCTGACTGAGCAAGCAAAGGGGAGCGCGATCCAAGCTTGTGCACCGCTGCACACAAAGCCCTTCACCTTCTGCTCGCCTTGGAAGCTCCTCCCTGGGTTTGGTCTCCTAGGGTCTCTGATGCCCCCTTCGGTGGTCTGTGGGACGGTCCGACTCGCTCAAAGCAGTGCAAGTCTCAGCCTCTTCCTCACCGCCCCTCATCACTGAGCCCAAAGGGAGCTCTGCTCGGCTTTAGGGACGCGAGGGCTCCCCGCGCGTCCACGGTTCCTGAGCCCACGGGATTGGCAGACCACGACCTGGAGTGTGGGACACAGCTTCGCGCGGCAGCTCAGCCACAGGCATACACCCCAACCCCCAAGGTGGTCAGTTCCAGTGCCCAGCTCCCCATCCCCGAAGGGGCGCGCCCAGCCTAGCGGCGCTCCTACCTGCGATGCGCCGGGCGGCTCCGAGCGCAATGCCGGAGCCTGGCGCCCGCGCGTCTGCCGGGTGCAGCGGCGGTGCGGCCGCGGGCTGGCACTCGGGCTAGCTGCCCGCTGCCTCCTCGCTGGGGCTTCCTGTGGGGCTGGACAAAGGACATTTCCTGGGGAGGAGCGGGGGAATGTTCCCAGCATTGCCCTCGATTTGTAGTTCACGGGGGACTTCCTGCCACCGCAGCAGCAGCAGGGCCCCCTACTCAGACCCCAGGACTGGAGGAGGCGTGCTCACTGCGTCCCTGGGACACTGCTGGGCGGGGAATGGTGCGTGGCTGACGGCTGACCCCACCGGGCGCCAGTGGCAGAGTCGCGGTCCTGCAGATGTGTGCTGCATGCACCGGCTCACTGTCCTGTGCGCGCGGTGCGAGCGGCCTTTTCTTTAGAAATTAAGTTTGTGATGGGTTTCTCTCTAAGTAGACTTCCCCCCTCTAATAGATGGTCTTCCATGAGGGGAGTGACTGAGATGGGGACACACTCTGACACCCAGCGTGGCCTGGAACTCACCTGGACCACTCACCGCGGTTCTCATTCCTCAGCTTTCAGGCGTGTACCAAACCGAGTTTGTTGTTTTTGATTGTTTCTCTTGTGTGCCAAGGCTCTGCCTTAAAGCCCCCCCCTACATGCCTAGGCAAGTGCTCTGTCGATCCACCAACTTTTCCACCTCCCGGTTTCTCTAAACCCATAGGTTCTCAACCTGTGAGTCGCGACCTTTTCACAGGGGTCACCTAAGACCATCGGAAAACACAGATTAATTACATTACGATTCATAACAGTAGCAAAGTTACAGTTATGAAGTAGCAACGAAAATAATTTCATTGTTGGGGGTCACTACAACATGAAACTGTAAGGGTCACAACATTAAGAAGATTGAGAACCACTGTGCTACCCAGTCAGGATTCAGCTGCGGCATGTTAAAGAAAAGAACTGGACTGCCCTCCTAGAGTCCAGATCCTTAAGGTCTTGGCATTTTGTCCCTAAAACCATAAGGAGCTGATCCATTCCCAGATACTGGCCCGGTGGGTGACATCCCTTTCCTCCACTGTTGGCCTCCGCCCAGGCTTCTTTTCAAGAAAATTAATTAAACTGAGAGAGAAAAAATAAACCTCATGAATTAGATATGTGAAAACCCTGAATTAGGAACGTTCTGGACCTTTTCTTTCTGTCTTACCCTCACTCACCAATTAGGATTCAGCTTTCTCAGCCCAGTGAAACATCCCATGGAATGTGTGTTTGGGCAGGGGAAGGACAGTGGTAGCCCAGAAAGGGATGTCCCCTTCTCTCCATAGCCTGGCAAGGGTCTGTGAGTCTTCCATGTGTTCCCATCGATTTGTGGGGAAAGTCGCGGTAGGGCAACATAAAACTAAATGGGGGAAAATGCTGTGCTTTCCAAAGGATGGTATGAAGGCAACTTGAAAAATAATCTGGCAATAGCACCACCCAGGAGGCTGGGGGCAGGAGGGTGCGGAGTTCAAAGCCAATGTGGGGCTACCTAGCAAGACCCTTGTCCATAGGTAATGCACGCATACATACACCATCAGAAGGTCACAATTACCTGTCATTTCCATTTGTCATCTCACATTTCGAATCTGCATAAGTAGGGACATTTGAGTGAGGACTTTAGGTCTGTGTAAAGAACAGTTCTCTTCTAAGAATACTGTAATCCTTCCTCTAGAGCCCTTTAGTCATGGGGGGATAGGATGGCTGGTTTAATTCGAGGTGTGGAGCTGCTGACAAACGGGTAGATGGTTTACTTCCCAGAAGCCCTGGTGGATCTGTTGACTGTCCATCTAAATTAGTCGCACAAAGTACTGCCCCTTCGCATTTGTAGCCTTGGACCATTCCAGTGAAAAAAAGCTTCCCCCCTCTCCCCCTAGGGAAGAACTCATTAGTCGTTCATCACATCACAGACGGACGCAGCCTTGCAGTGCTCGGTCTGAGAGGGCAGCAGGCTTGCCCAGTGGCACTGAACACGGGCTACTCTCCCCTCGCCAAAGCTGTTTGGTTCCCCTTCCTCTGACAGCGCTCTCTCCTACATTTCTCACTTTTGCTGATGATGCCGAAACTTGACTCCTTACCTCCACCACGCCATATCACACCTGCCCCTTCTCTGTTTGTTTCCAATGTAGTTAGTTCATTATTTTGGGAAAGTTTCTTTTTACACATACTCATGCCTTTATTAGCTTTCAACACTGATCTCTCTGTTGTAACTGAGTCCCGTGAAACCTGTGGTCACTGTATGTAAGGTATGGTGTGTGTGTGTGTGTGTGGTGGTGTGTGTGTGTGTGTGTGTGGTGTTTGTGTGTGTGTGTGTGTATGCGCTCTAAGAGGTGAGGGGAAGGGACACTAGCCATAAAACTGGATCTTTGCTTCCAGACTAACAAGGGTCTGTGAGGTCTGCTGTAGGTTACCCACTGAGTAATTAAAAGTATGTGTTATCTTCCAGAGCCCAAACCCCAGTTGACATGATACAGCTCACACAATCACTACGCATCATCCAAGTCCAGTGATGCAAGAAGGTTCTATATAGGAATTTGTGTTCTCAGAAGATTCTGGTCTTCCCATAAGCCCTTTTGTCTCTCGAAGGCAGTGGTTCTCAACCTTCCTAACGCCGCGACCCTTTAATACAGTTCCTCATGTAATGATGACCCCCAACCACAAAATTATTTTTGTTGCTACTTCATAACTGTAATTTTGCTACTGTTATGAATCGTAATGTAAAGTATCTGTGTTTTCCGACAGTCTTAGGCGACCCCCGTGAAAGGGTCATTTGTCCCACAGGTTGAGAACTGCTGCTCTGAGGTGGGAATAGAAGATGGAGAAGGAAGAAGCAGACGAGGTGTGAACTTGGTTTCTGAAGGATGGTGACATCAATGGGAGTGGGCTCAAAACCAAGTGTTGTTCACGGAGTTTTCCTTGTTTGACTTTCAACATGCACAGATCAGGGGACTATTCAGATTTTGGCTGGAAAAGAAACGGCAGATGGTAAAGACAGAGGGGAGAGAGGAAGGATGAGGGATTAGCATCCAACAAATACTCGTTGAACCAACCCAAATTCCTGCAAAGTAGCGTGATTGGTGATGTTGTCATTGAAACGGACAAAGTGCACATTCCCGCTGAGACTCACAGAGTCTGAGACCAGACAGAAATGGCATTCCTTTCTCCCTGGTCATACTCCCTTCCCTGCCCTCCACATCCCCAGGGGAAGATGATGAATGAGGGAAAGAGAGACTCAAGCCTCCCTGGTGCTGGCGGAGAAGCCTTCTCTGACTTAAGGATAGGTTTAAAAAGGACACGGCAACTTCAGAACAGCCGAAGCCTCCACGGATTTTTATTTTACTTATCTTTAAATAAATATTTCACCATACCCTTGCCTTTTATTTTTCTTTCTGGTTGTGGTTATTGAAAAAGAGCCTCTTGAATATGAGGCAAGTTCTGTAACTGAGTTACATCCCAGCACACTCTTTTCCCTTTTTATTTCAAGACTGTGTCTGGCACTAAGTCGCCCAGGGTGGCCTTAAACATTTACGCTCCTCCTGCCTCAGCCTCCAGGGAATCTGGAATAACCAGTCTGTGCTGCCAGGCCCTGCTCATTTTGTTACTTCACCACCTTGAAGTACAATAAATAGCTATTCTCATCCTTGCCTTTCAGAGAGGGGAGTTGAGCTTAGAAAGATTAGCCAACAGCATTTTTAGAACAAATAGCCCTTGTGCTTTGTATTACTAACATTATGATTATAGTTATTTTAGGTGGACAGGAAGTAGGGCTTACTGGTGGTGAGGGTTATAAAAGATAGGGTTGCTGGAGGTGCCTTCTCAAATGCAGGGCCTAACACTTGTGCAAGGGATGACAACTGGGGATATATTTAATCCTGTAGCCTTTGGGGATAAGCCACTTGTCATCCATCGCATTACCAAATTTATCTTCATTAAACTTGATAAACCCCATTTCTCTGAAATGTGGGTCTTCTGGTGGCCAGAGAAATGACTAGGACCCAGGCATAGGGCTGTGTCCTATGCTCTTTGTTTTGTAGCCTGATGGTGACAGTCACAATGACATAGCCAATGTGAACCTCGGCCACTGTGCCCCGAGGCTTCCCAAAGGCAACTGTCTACCTGTGTGGCTTCTAGACTGGGAACAGCCTGAGATCAAACATGCACATCTCCTTCAAGGGTGGTCTTGAGGTCCTATAGGGCAGCCATCCATTTTCCAGCGAAGGGTTGGATGCATGACCAAAGAGGCTGCTTTTGTAGCCATTGCACAGAGAACACCCAGTAAAGAGGAAAGGAGCCAGGGTGCAGACACCTTAGAAGCTTGCAAGCATAAGGGAGATGCCTTGATTTTCTGAACCTAATAACTAACCATCTCCCCTTAATCGGATAACAGTACCTTTGAGAAATGGCCCCTTTCCAACCCCAAGTCCTTGCAGTTGAGAGAGAGCCAGATGTTGCCTGCCTTCATTTCAATGGAAGAATGTAACCAAGATGCACAGGTTTCAATGCTGTATGAGGGACAGAATGAGAAGAAGAAGAAGAAGAAGAAGAAGAAGAAGAAGAAGAAGAAGAAGAAGAAGAAGAAGAAGAAGAAGAAGAAGAAGAAGCAAAACTGAGGAAAGGAAGAAAGAAAGACCCCTCTTTGTGATATTGTTGGGTTGTGCCTGAGGCTTACACATTCATAGGCTTTTTTGGTTTCTTGAGCCAGAACCTGGGGCTCCAGCTATTTTGAGTTAAGTCCTGTGCTTTGCAGCTGAGAGTTCTACGTAGCTGGACATTGGACATGGGAGGTTGCAGTGTAGCAATTGACTGAGTAGTGGATAGGTGAGAACAGGAAGGTTCTCTCTGTGCCAGAGTTGGGAATTGGATCCTTGTGATGTGAGGACCAAGGGACTGAACCAAGAGCGTCAAGTCAACATTTGAGAGGTGAGTCTGAGATGTCCCGACACACAGATGTTAGAATTTTAGAGGAGCTGGTCACTGATGGTTTCACAAAGAAGCTAAAGAAAGGCGCCTGGGAAAATGGCTTCTGTAGAAGCAGAGAGGGAGGAAGGACAGCCTAGCTCCAAGGTGCCCTGTCTTCCTGTCCCCAGAAAA